AGGCTGTGTTCCGACTCTTGACTTCGACTCGACTAAAATCGTTCCCTTCATGTTGTTCTCGGTCAGGTTCTTCCTTCAGAGTCCTCCCGGTTTCCTCCTCTGGTTCCACGCTGGGACCCCCACTCTCCACCATGTCACGAGCCGGGGGTGTATCGCGAAGGACACCGGACGGCCATGTCCCTCCTCCATGGTCTCCAACAACCGTCGACTTGTCACTCCCCACCGGCGGCTCAGCGTTCAAGAAGAATTGGATCATCACCCTGCTGTCCCCGACGATCGGTCCGGGTTTAAGGCTTCGGGTTTTTGGGTTGAGGGTTTAAGGCTAAGGGTTTTGTGTTGATTTAGGGCTGAGGTTCAAAGTTTAGGGTCTTGGTGCCAAGAGGTGTTACTGGGTGAAAAAAACAGTCAAGCCCATCTCAAACCAAAGCAAGCGGCAGAACATGGTTGCGGGCTTAAGCACGTAGGGTACTTTTGCACCATAGTTAGCAGCCGTTAGTAGTACCACCACCTCTGCGGCAACACACTGTCAGCAGCCTGCCTGTGCCAGAAAATGCTTTCTGCACAGCCCACCACCCTCCAAGTTTGGGAGCTAGGACGCTTGCAGCATGTGCAAAGTGTACATCCACGGGTGTGCATCTAAAGTCCTAAGCCCTAAAAGCCTGAATCCTGGCCCAAACTTTGAATCCAGACCGTAACCCGCCCGCCTACACGCCCCTCCTGCCTGCCCTGCCCTCCTGCCCTCCTACCCTCCTGCCCTCCTGGCCTACTACCCTCCTGCCCTCGCGCCCTGACTAGCCAGGCGACGACGAGCATCAGGTTTTAGGGATTTTCAGAGTCTTTATCGGCCTTGCAGGGAGCTTTCAATTCCTCATGTTCGGCCTCGTGGTTCAGGCCTTCGAGAGCTTTTGATTTGTTTTTGTTCGGGGAATTCAAAGCTTCGCAGCAGGTTGTCCAAGGCTTCTGAAGGCGCTCGTCGGGCCGCCTGGTGCCTTTAGCAGCCTCTAAGGAACTCAGTCAGGACAGAAAGCCTAACATAGGGGCCTTGATCGTTGGCATACTCGCATCAAGGAACCTATTTCCAATGACTCAGGCCTGTGGACCATACTCTATAAGGGCCTGAATAACTAGAATAGGGCTTTTGGGCCCATTGTACTATAAATATAATAAGGACCCCCCAAGATAGTACAGGTAATTATTTAGGCCCCTATCTTACCTTGCTTCCAAAATATCGCCAGTCTCTCGACTGGCACAAACAAGTTGTACTAGTATGAGATATGGGAGCTTCCGAAAATTAGGGGTACCTTATTTTGCGGTCCTTAGAATAAGGATCCTACTATTTGGGGTACTACATTAGGGTCCCCTATTTTCTGAAGCTCCCATATGCAAGTACCAGTACTGCAAGTACTAGGGAGCACAAGCTGCAAGAGTAGCAAAATAGGGCTGGGGGTAGGGGTAGTCCATGGTTAAGTCAGGGTGGTGCCCTCACCAGTCAGTCCTCAACCCTCAACCCAAGTTAAGGGTTTCAAAGACCCATCTCCCAAATGGGAGTTTCCGAAAATAGGGGACCCTAATATGGTACCCTAAATAGTAGGTTCCTTATTATAAGGACCCGAAAACAAGGTACCCCTAATTTTCGGAAACTCCCAAATCATCCTTGAATGGTCCTCCGGCCCGAACAAACTCTTGGGCAATTCTCTCATCCGCCAAACAGCACGTGGCTTACACCATGAGGGTTGCAAGCAGACCCTAGTTGGGAAGTAGTGCTATGTAGCTGCATATAGACTTCGAACTGAGAACTCTGAACCCTAAACCCTAAACCCCTAAACACCAGACTTAGCAACTGAGAACTTCGACGATGTAAGGTTTCGACTCTCGCAACTCGCACAAGGCAAACAAGGCTTCAGGATGACTGGTCAAAACTGCTAAATATAGGGCTTTGGGTTTAGGGTTTAGGGTTTCTTAATGATTAGAATAGGGTTCCTTTAAAGGGATTCCTCAAGAGTTCTACAAGGGATCCATAATATAGGGGCCTTAATAATTAGAATAGGGTTTTGGGGCCCGTTATACTATCGTGATAACAAGGCCCCCGCAATAGGGGCCCGTTATACTAGCGTGATAACAAGGCCCCCGCAATAGTATTGGTAATTATTTTGGCCCGTAAAGCAGGATTGTGAGGTCCTTTTGACGAGCGATACGACGTTTCTCTAGCTGTATGTCGGCTTTCCCACATTACTGCCACCATCAAGACCTAAGTGAATGTTACTAAGGTGGCTTTCATATTTGGCCAAGTCACGGTTGCAACGCGCAAGCACGCTTTGTTTTGCTTCCGGGCTGGCCGGACGTGTGGTGAGGTTTTTGGGTCTTTGATTGCACTCTTCAACAGGCTACCATCCGTTGTGAAATTACTTGCAGGCGCAGCATGCCCATGGAAGTCAAGCCGGCAGAGTCAAACCGGGTACAGCCGTCTAAGCATTAATTACCCTAAACACTTAAATTAAACCAAACCCTAAACTCTAACCCTAAAGCCTTTTTTTCACAAGCTCAAGTCAAGCCAGACCTTCTACCCCTCTATCCCGCTAATCCTACCAAGCTCTTCTTGAACGAGGTCTCTCTGAAGTGCCGCCGAGTTGCCCATTAATTATTAAGCCCTAGACCCTCAACCCTACCCCTACGTTGAAGCAGTAGGCTTCTGACACTCGCACCGGGCCGAGCTAGGCAAGGAACTGGTTTAGGGAATTAAGGATTTATACAATATAGGAGCCTCAATGGCTGCAATAAATCCTAAACCCTAAAGTAAGATTATTCTCACCAACAAGAGACTCCAAAGAATAATATGCATAGCCATTCAGACGTCTTTATTTGGAGCCTCAATAGTCGTGGTATCATCCAGAGTGTGTGTGTGTACATATACATAGACATATATTTCTACATAAATAAATACATGGAGAGTTACAGCGACACACAAAAAATGTATACATTGTGTATGTATGTAGCTGAATTGCTTATGCATATAACAATGATATATATATATATATATGGCTTACGGTTTGAGCTCTTTAGGCAACCATGGAACAGCATCTGCGCGCAGGCAGCTGTCGGAGAATCTCATCAAAGCAGCAGTAGTGCCTTGGAGCATCCTCTCCGACATGCAAGATGAAGCCGTGATTTCGCAAACCGGACTAGCGAACCACCCAACAGTCTCAAATCCTGAACTCAGAGGTCATGAACTTGAAAATCACGCCTTCGCTCGGCAGACTCTGCAGCATGTGGTCGCAGCATTCTCTTTGGGTGAAGAAGCCGTGGCTCTGCGGGCACAGGCCCGCCTATGTTTTCTTTCAAAAGGGATCCAGGTTCAAACGCTAATTACGGCTGTTTGGGCGCCTCTTTTCCAGAACCTCGTGGGTTAGTGAGCCAGGACCCCCCGTGACGGTAAGCCTTCACCCAAGGAGAGTCTGGGACCGTCTGCAGCCCGGCACAGCATGCACACCAAGCCGGCCAGGTTTGTGTTCGGGTGGCTTGCCCATCATGCAGTATGAAAAAGTCTCCGGTCTCAAACATCCATCCCCCAAGGACACAAATGGAAACTTTCCAGGCCGAAAAAGCAAGGACCAACCATTGACCAGTCCTCTTTGGGGGAGGGGGGGTTTGCCGGCATCAAATCAGCAAAATATAGGGGCCTTAATGATCAGAAAAGTGTTTTTTGCAGTCGGCTATAACTATTCCGCAATGTAAGGACCATGCATCGGTAATGCTTCGACCCCAATATCATGCAAAAGCCACAGGTTTCCTCATGGCGAAGGTTTCCGAATCCGAAGCCCTCATCGCAATTCCCTTGCTCAGTTGCCGAGTTCTCGGGCCCTTTCAGTCGGCGCTGCTCGTAATATAGGGGCCTTAAGAATTTGAATAGGGTTCCCTTTAAAGGAATCCTTAAGGGTTCTATAAGGGATCTATAGTAAGGCTCTACAACTTTAATTCAGGGGCCTTCATGATTAGAATAGGGCTTGGGGTATATTATTCTATCATTACAATAAGGACCCAAAATGGTAAAGGCAATTATTTAGGCCCCCAAGCATACGGTTCGAGGTTTCGGTGTCTCGTTCCACCAGGGTTCACGGTGTCGTGTATTATGCCGCTGCCACAGAGCAAAGCACCCCTTGAAGCCTCAAAGGGAACTCTCGACCCAAGTCTTGGGAATCGATAGGACTTGTCTACAGGGAAAGCCTCCTGAAGCTAGCTACAGCTCCAAGTTTTTGAGGGCATCTAGGGTTTAAGTTTAGGGTTTCTATATACATCATATGGTATATCATATGCTAAAGACTGTCACATATGTCAACTATCGGCTTTCGGATTTAGGGAGGAGGGCCCGAGAACTTCCTAAGAAAGAGAAGCACGATGAGCTTTGCCCAGAAGTGCAGAGAATACTGATCGGAACTTCTGAAAATTCAAAAGGTTTTTGGTTGTTTATTTTGCCTCGTACATTGCCAGGACGAGCCCGATCGCAGCGGACGAGCAACAGCAGGTGCAATGACGCCACAACAGCACCAGCAATGTAGCACTCTGCCAACGTGAGACTATGCATGTCCGGACGTTCGACCCCGGCAATGCGCAGAATTTCCCCGCTCCGAGTGCTCGCGTTGGGAGCATGCCCTGAAAAGGTGGCAGTCGACTGCTGTGCAATCTCGACTACTCGTCTCCAGGGCCGAAAATACAGACGTTTCAGCAAGCTTCCGGAAAATGAACGTGCCAATTTAGAGCGACCGGGTTCTGCAAGATTAGTTTTTGTCAATGTACCCCCCCTTTTGACTCATGCTCAGATCTACTCCCATCCTTTTGCAACACCCTTTCCGCCGAAGCAGAACGGGCGTCTCGAACCCAAAGGCGCTAGATCCTCCAAGAAGCACTCCAGTTGCCGGAATAGACCTGCTGTAGGAGATAACTGGACTCTGGAAGACTAAAACCAGCGAGAAAGAGGGTTCCTAGAGCTTCACACTCACTCCTCGTCAGCACAACACGTTGTCGTACCTTAGTGCTCAGCTACTAACCGTCATCCGCATCTGCAATCTGCAGAGCGCAAAGCCTTAGGACAGTATGAACAACACCAAGTTCTTGCCAAAACAATCCCACCAATCAATCCCCTAAACCGCCGAAACCCCCTAACCCCCCAAACCCTGTACCCTTAACCCCAAACCCCCAAACCCCCTCAACCCCCTAAGTCCGTCATCACTCGTGCTCAGGATTTGCGCGTGCAGCGCCTCCACATGCTGCTGCATGGGAATAATATATGCAGTTCATGTGGGAATATGTATACACACACACACACACACATATATATATATATATATACATATATCTATATATCAGTATAAGTCATACATATTATATTATATTATATTATATTATATTATGTTATATTGTATTATATATATATATATATGTATATGTATATTATGTCATATATACATCTGTTATAATATGTATATATTATAATATGTATATGTATAATACTAAGACTCTATGTGTGCATATATATATATATACATATATATATATACATACATACATACATACATATACACACACACACCTATGTTATATTTATACATAGAGTGCCAAGGATCTTGACGCGGATCTCGGACCCATCGCAGCACTGCACGCGGTAGCGCCCGGCATCCAGGTCGGCTTCAAGAATGCGGGCCTTGGGTCTGAAGCACCCTTGGGACCACCAAACCCTACCTTTTTGTAGGTTCTTATTATAAACCCTAATACGGAATTTATAAGACCCTACAAAAAAGGTAGGTTTTGGTAGGTTAAGGCACCCCTTGGAACCACAACATAAATAGTTGTCGGGGCTTTGCTTTAAAAACAACGCAACCACGTACGAAAAAACATGTGTGTGTGTGTGTGTGTGTGTGTCTATATACATATATACACATATGTATGCATGTACATATTTCCGAAGAGCACTAAAGAACTGATCTTGCCACGAAACACGAAGCGATGGTGGCCCAACGGCGAAAGAAAGACCACACTAAGTAAGTAACTCAGTAAACAGCTAACCTACTTGCCTTGCTAGTAGATCCAGAACGCTGCACGTTCTTGTCTTTGTGTGTTGGGCTTACTCTTCTCCCTCCTCCGAGCTACAGTTAAATGCTTTAGCGTTTAGGGCTGTGCCAAATCACCATCTTCCCGTTGAAGTCCTCGTTGCTGAGGTCTCGAAGCCTTCGCCAAGCTGAGGTGGCTAATTAACACGCTACATGATACAGTGGCTTTAATAATTAAAAGAGGTTTTTTGGGTGATGCGGGCGAAAGCCTGTCGACGAAGAGCGAAACAAGGCAGGACCGCATCCGCAGAGAATGTGCACAAAAGCGAGCAACGAGTGTATCCATAACTTGCTGCAAATAGATTGCAGAAGTTGAAACAAACAACCGTATTTCTGGACCCAGATATCTTATAGATTTATGTTGTAACAAGCAACGAAGCACCCCCAAAACAATGCAAAAGTGAAGGCGAAAAGATCGAGCCAAGCAAACACGAGATGCCGTGCTGACTCGCCGACACCCGCACGCGCCGAAAAGCTCTCCCTAAATCTCCAAATAGAGCTACAGTATTTCCCGCATTCCGAGACTCTGCCGATCAGCTGAACCCTAAAACCCTCGGAAACCATGGAAGTCGCGATGAAGCTTGAGGCTGCGAGACCGAGGCCTTGAACTCGACGCTCAAGAGCTCATTTGAAGGATCAAGGGGTAGGGGCCAGAATAAAAAGACGTATAGGGTTTTGGCCTTCATAATCGGGAAACCTGAAGAACAGCATTGTCAATCATTTTTGCTTCAACATCAGTGGCAAAATCTTCTAAACTCAAACGCGAAGTCTTATCACCTTGTACTTAGTTATGATGACTTCCCATGAACCTACAAGTGCGGCTTAGGGCCCCCGAAAAGGTTTGAGGAACAGGAACCCTTGAACCAAAAGGCCCCCTTTCGGAGCCACCTGATGCACGTCCCGCCATCGAGGAGGCAATTTCCTTGGAAAACAGAAGGGGTTAGGGGAAGTTCAAAGCCAACGCCAAACCCCCAAAACTCCCTAAGCCTCTTAAAGTCCACAGCATCGCAATTCTATGTCGCTTGTTGAAAGACGATCCCTGTCCTCCTACATTCGGAAACGCAGTGTCTTCTAGCTTTTCGTTGATGAGACTCCGAGCCACTACTACCCAAGCCGAAAGAAGGCCCTATGACATAACGCACGAAACCCTCCGTGAGCTCTTCAGCCTGAAACACTCATGTTGTACCCTCTACAATCCTCTACAGACCCCATACAAGTCCCCACCTACTACTACTACTACTGCTACTACTACGACGACTACTACTACTACTACTACTACCACTACTGCTGCTGCTGCTACTGCTACTGCTACTGCTACTGCTGCTACTACTACTACTACTACAGTACTACTTCTGCTGCTACTACTACTACTACGACGACGACAAAGAACAACAAATGTAAGAAGAAGAAGAAGGATAACAACTGTAATAACAACAATGACGTTGTTCATGTTACTAATAATCATCATGTCAGTTTTGCTAGGCAAAAACACAATAATAACCATATTATTAGTGTCACAATAGGAATGATAATGTTGTGTTTTACCAATAGCGTGAATCATGCTGACCATGATGATAGCAGTTGCAAGGGTAACAATAATGATGATAAGGGCAATAACGATATCAATACTATGAACAATACAGGAACAGTAAAAATGCTCGTGAAAATACTAATAGCGATAGCAATACTAAGACTAAGAACATTTAAAAATAAAATCCAATGCTTTTTGATGAGAACGATGGCTTCAACACTTGTTGTGGTGCCGATAAGAGCCGAGCGAAGCTTTTCTGCTTCTCTCAGGCAAACGACACCCGTAAACAGATATCAAGGGTTCCTAAACCGGTGAAGAGGGTGCAACATGGTGCAACAACATAACATACTTATCACCGCCCAATGGTACTATAACGGCTAAATACTAAAGCGGAGTGGCTGACTCTACAAAAGGATTCAAGAATCATCCAGTCGAAGCCTTGATCCTGTGTGAACTGCTTGTTGTGTTCTAAAGTTTGCAATTGCCAGCCCGCATCGCGCCCAAAGCACTCGAGACAGCGAAACTCCAGCAACGCCAGAACCATGCTAAACCAGCCGAGCAGCTAGGAGAGATGTAGATCATTGCAGAGCCTTTGCGCAACACGGCTGCGTAATTTCCTGCGAAGTGACAAAGGCGCCGGAAGGGTACATGATTGAGGCATTGTCTACTTGAAGGTTCATGGGTAGCTATAAGTGGGGTTACAAGTCCCCTAATATGGGCTATAATTCCAGCTACCCTACTTATAACCCCACATGTAACTACCCATGAACCTCCAAGTACTGTGTTCGGGAAACGCAAATCGTGGCTGTAGCATCGCTGAATTTACTGCCAGCATTCGGAGTGCGGATTCATGCAGACGGGTTCCGGCGACTGGTTTGCCCGAACCTGTGGGGAAAATCGGCGCAACCGAACCAGCAAAACAAAAAACGTAATAGTGATTGGCCTAGAGTGGACCGGAACTCCAAGAGACCATGACTGCAATTTGCGGGATGATGAAGCCTGTGTCTGCGGCTTGATGGCTCTGACTCTGATGATGTTTGGAGCGATTTTGCAAACGAAGTAGCTGTAGTAGTCTCAGTAGTGGTCGTTGAACAACCAGTAGCAGTGAAGACCTAATAGAAAGAGTAGTAGAAGGCAGGAAAAACACTAATTAAGTGGCGTTGCAGTTGTGTGATCAGTCCAGCCAACAGATGTCACTGCTGCTAGATTAGATACTATAGAACCTAGTAGGTTGGGATACTTGTCAGAAATCATGACTTATTTTCGCAACCGGGTTGGCCCGCCAGCGCACTGCTCAGGTAAGACATTTGACGCCTTGATGCCTTTGAGTCCCTAATATAGGGACCTGAATAATTAGAAAAGGCTTTTGGGGCCCCTAATATCGGAGTTTCCAAAACTTAGGGGTACCTTATTTTGGGGCCCTTATAGTGAGGATCCTGCTACATAGGGTGCTATATTAGGGTCCCGTATTTTCGGAAACTCCCATATTGAGCCACTGAGGGCGATCACGAGCCCACAAACACCTGGCCTAGCACTTTACGGCACACTCACGAAATCTTTCTATGACCAGCATCCGCACCCCCCGATTTGAGAACCCCGAGCCCGTGCCGCTGTTGGGCATATTATGATAGTAGAATAAGACTACAATAAACCCATTTTACGACACCCTACCCCTGTTTCAGTATAGTAGACTAGAATAAAAGTATCATACGTATGAAAGGTCCTGTGTCTTGCTGGAAGCCGACGATGTCGGCTGTCAGCCCATTCCTGGCGTTTTGCTGTCGCTCTGGGGCTGCTCCAGGGCGAATCTTCGACAGACATGATGTATCTATTCTGAAATACCTTACTATAAGTTTTACCATGATCTGACTATAATTCTGGTACAACAACACAGAACTGCTGACCCTCCATGAACCACACAAAACCGGGCCCCCAGGGTGACGCTCTGTAATAATACGATCATAAAACTGTAATGTTACTGTAACAATGTAACAATACTAAGAAAAACATTTACCATAATAGTACTATAATGGCTAACCAGCGACGCAGACGCTGGTCGAATCTTAAGCCAACTCACATTGTTCAATCTCCGGGTTCGTTGCGAGAAGCTTCGAACAGTGGCGCCTAGAGTGGCGCTTAGAGTATGGTCTAGGGTTTAGGGTTATGAGAATCTTTAGCAGCTACAGACTGTACATCTGCAAGCAAATAGTTTCCAATGTTTTCCATGTTGTCATCATGTTGACTATCATTGGCTAACATTCGGGGTTTCATGTTTCGTATTTTTAAATTTTAGTTTTCTCCAGCCCTGGTTCCATCATCATTTTGATATCATGCTTTATCGTTTTCGGGCCTGTTTCCGCTAAACAATGAAATTTCCTGACGCTATCCTCACCTTTCGAACAGCTCAGGATCCTTGCGCGGCCTTTCCCCAACACTCTTCTGCCAAAGGGTTAAAAGCCGTGCACCCATGATGGACACAGGACATTTCATGGGAATAACTAAGTGGTGATGAAACGGTGATTTGACGATGATCAACATGCCTTTGCTGAAGGATTAGTCCATGCAGGCCATGCAAGTCTGTCCACACAAGCAGCTTTCAGGTTAAGGGTCAACGGGTTTTTTATAAGACTTTTGACTCAGTTTCGCTCTCTCTCTCTCTCTTGCTCTCTGTCACAGGCTGTGCAGCTTGTCTGGGGGGTCTCTGCGGACAGCTCCCACGCAGAATTCTAACCGTCATTATGAAGACAGTTCTGTGTATCAGTGATTACCGTGCGTCCTGTGCAACTAGTACAGTCCTCTTTGGGAGTGTCGGTCAAGTAATTATTCGATGCTCCTTCTGCGCACTACGATCGAAGGCGTCATCGCCACAAGCATCATCAACATCGCCCAAACGTTAAGCATTCGAGGCGACTTCATCTTCTGGGCAATTCCGACTGGAGTGAGTAAGGCTTGGAAGACACCAACCGCTGAGCCGCTGCACCCTAAACCCTAAGCCCAATGCTTCAAAACTAAATCTCCCTCTCGCAACCATCTGAAAGACATCGCTTCATGACTCTAGTCAGCTGCCCGATGGTTCGATGATATCACAGGTATGCCACACTAAGACATAGGGCAAGGAACAGCTGCGGCTGGGCCGTAAGGCCATGAATCGTCATCCCACAGTGCTGAGTGATGTTCTCTGGCCGTACCTTCAGTCGATACGGCTTTAGTGTGCGAATTTCCATTGGGTTTTGGTAGCATCAGAGAAGGGGACGGTTTCCACGACTTCTACCTTGTAGCCTGGCTTCGCAGGTCTTGTTGATGAGCTGAAGGTTTTGTTTCCAGAATAGGAACTATCGTACCTAACTTGGTTTCCGCTTGAACCCAGGCTCAAATCCTGCATCAACTTGGTTTCCTTGTTCAAACAATTTCAAGTAAGTTTCCTTCATAAGGTCCTAAGTTGCCATAATCGGGCCCATTGGAACCTGGCGTAAATACTATGGCTTTCTTTTTATGGTAACTGTACCTGCTTGTCCTGTACCCTGAGGAACTGAAGGTTAACCTTTCGGATTAAAAAGTGATTCCAGTACCCCAAAAGGGGTAAAGGTTTCCGACTCTACTAATTAGACCCTCCATAGAACCCCTGTAGAACCCCGTATACTACCCTAAACCGTGAAACCCTTAAGGCCTACCGTCTGTACTACCGAGGAGAACTTAACCTACTTAAAGGATCATGGGACTTAGCAACTAGGCTAGTAATTGGGGTAACTATACGTATATCCCCAATTAAGGTACATACAACCGAACTTACTAAGTCCCATGACCCTCCAAGTAAACAGTAAACACACCTTCTCATGAGACCAACAAAAGCATGACAACACTGGTGTTGTTGCTGCTGCTGCCGCCTCTCTTCCTCTTTCTTCACAACAACAATCAAAGCAGAATCCTCCAAGTAGAGTCCTTCACAAGATCCCGAAAACTCCGCAGCCCAGGAAGCTGCACAGGTGTTAGTGTTTAGGGTTTAGGGGTTTAGGGGTTTTAGGGGTTTTAGGGGTTTGGGGTTTACGGTTTAGGGTTTAGGGGTTTAGGGTTTAGGGGTTTAGGGGTTAAGGGTTTACGGTTTAGGGTTTTAGGGTTTAGGATTTAGGGTTCAGGGATTTAGGGGTTTAGGGTTTAGGGGTTGAGGGTTTAAGAGTTTAGGGGTTTAGGGGTTTAGGGTTTAGGGGTTTAGGGTTTAAGGGTTTAGGGGTTTAGGGGTTTAGGGTTTAGGGGTTTAGGGTTTAGGGGTTTAGCGTCTAGGGGTTTAGGGGTTTAGGGTTTAGGGGTTTAGGGGTTTAGCTTTTAGGGGTTTAGGGGTTTTTTTTTTTTAAAGTGCAATGGACCCTTTCTGCGAAAAGCTCCAGCCAGAGTCGGCCTACACTAAAATGACAAGCAGACTCAGAAGTGGATGTGGTCAAATCACGATCATTTAGTCCACCTCTTCAATTGACCCTCTTCCACCCCTTTCATGTTCACTCGGATCTCCGTGGACCCCAGAGTCACGACTCCGACTACGATCTCGCCCAACAGAAGGATCACCGACACGATCCGGGGAATCAGCCGAAACAGCAGCTTCTGGGCCACGACGAGGAAGATCACCAGGCGACCCACGGCCAGCAGCAGGTCCATGATGACGACGACGGTTGCCTTGGTCAGATACATTCGTAGTCCCTTGGCACGGCAGTGTGGATGCTGTCAATGTGGGTGGACGGGCCTGTAGACAAAGAGAGCCATGGGGCACAGCGCCAACAAGAGCACCTAGATCACCCGGAGCAGCAAATGTCGGTGCAGGTCGGGGACGATGAACACGACGACGTTGATGTACTCCACTGCGTGATGGTAGGGACGGTGTGTCAGTCCCAGGCGGCATGTTCATCACGGCATGGGTTTCATCAGTCTGGATGAGATAGAGCGCCTGGTCATCCATTGATGGCCACATTCCTCCCGGTGTCGGTTGTCTTGCCTCCTCATGCAGACGGCCAGCATTACGACGCCAGGCCCTGCGACGCAGGCCAACCACAGCAGCATGGGACATTCCAGGAAGACAGTCCCAGAGACCATGTAGACTATCAGGGAGGCCGGGTTGTAGCAGAGCTGCCAAGGTGTCTGTTACCTGCGTAGTCCCTGATTGGGTGGGTCCATCTCCTTGGTTAGCTTCCACATGAATCTGGTGCCAGATCGCAGACGCCATGGACGGGGCATTGAAAGCACGGGAAGTAGAGGGAGTATTCAGCCACAGCAATGTCTCTTCAGTCGCCACACCCAGGAGACGTAGGAGTCGAAGCTGGTGCCGAACATGTGCTTGAAGACGATGAAGAACCTCCACCACGTCCGCACCACTGGCATGTACAAGTTCCCGATTGACCAAGTCACGAACAACATCATCCGATGTAATACTTGAGGAAGTGGTCGTAGTAGTGCTAGAACCAAACTGTACCAACCACTCTGCACACACAAAGGATGTGAAGGTCGTAGTGACAGTGGTCATCGAAGGGCAGGGGTCCAGCTCGACTTGAACAACCAGAAGGGACACAGCAAAGTCATCCCAGGCGTCACCGTGTAGATCTTGACTCCAAGTGGTTGTCGAGCTCGTCGTGCAGAAGGTGCTCGTCGTGCTAGTGGTACTGCATGACTCCTCCGTCCAAATTCCTAGGAGTTCACCAGCAAGAGCTTGTTCAACTGAGCCATGGACAGGGACTGGTGCGGAAGACCTCGATCGGCGAGGGCCATTGATAGGGCTCGGAGGTGGCGGTCCATTGGGTGATGTACCAGGAGGAGCCGGAGGGATGTACGCTAACTCGCCATCCGAGTTATGTGCATACTCACTATCCATCGAAGGTGCTCTGGTTCGTCTGGAACAAGTGGATGAAGAGGAGGAAGACGCTTCAGAGGCCACATGCTCACCATCAGCACGTTCTCGACTGCGCGATCTTGACCGGGGCGAAGGGGATGGCGATCTGTCTCGTGTTGGGTCGGTTCCACCACTGGGCTGTGTGGAGATAGGTCTAGCTGCATGAACTCCATGAAGAGCAGGAGCAGCATCTGAGGGTTCTCCCACTTCACTACCCAAGGCAGGCATGTCTGACGAACTTGACGTACCTCCACACTCACCAGGTTGAAGCCTCACGTTAAGGTTCATTTCAAAGTGCCGTGTGAAAACATCCACGATATTCCTGGCCCAGTTAAACAAGCGCCATCTCGTCATCTCGTCACCAGGAACACGCTGGAGGGGGAGGTAACCTCGAGGCACCAAGCGGCGAGCCAAGATTTCATAGATGGTTTCCGTCATCGTCAGGCCTTCCTCAACCCTATGCAAAATGCATCCCAAGGCCCATCTCGCCTCCGGTCCAAGATCATTATTGTTGTGGTTGTCCAGACCATCGAGAAGCTGTTCTAGGCGATGTACTCCATCAGAACTCACCCCAGCTTCTTGTAGACGTGCAATTTCGACCCCAGTCATCTGCATCAACATGACTTCATCACTTTGTTCTGTCACCGAACGGACCACTGGGAACAGGCCAGCATTGGGGAGGATGGGCATCGTTGAAGAAGAGGTCGTCGAAGTAGAGCTCCAGGAAGACGACCAAGACGAAGAGTCACCCCAGGAACTCCAGCACCACCATGAGGTATCCGAGGATGACCATTCCTGCCATGAAGGGGTGATCTCACCGATTGTCTGGTTGCCACGATTTTCCCACCAGCCGGACTGCCACGTTTGGCCAGACAGAGGGTCATACTCCTGGGCGAGGTTGTTGAGCTCAGGCGGCACATCAGGCGATGGCACAGGGTTGACGTCCACAGCCGTGTCACGCTTTGGTCTCCCAAGGAAGACATCCATGATCTGTGGGTCAATCACAGATTCAGGAGGAGGTCCATCTCTACGCAGAACTTCAAGCGCTCGTTGACGTGACTCCTTTTCCCTGGCATACTGCACGAGCCAGGCCGGTTTCCATTCGCCCGAGAGGTAGGAACGTAGGCGTTCCGCCTTGCGAGCAGCACGCTTTGGTCCAAGTCCTCCTCGGTGAGCGCGTTGTTCAGTTTCTGACCTGGCGCGGGCTTGCCATTCTCCATGTCGCCAAAAGCCTGTTGGGGGGTCATGGCTCGAGGAAGAGGTCTCATGGCTTGAGTCTTCAATCTCATCACCCGTCGTCGTGTCACCCAGGCAGGTAGAGGCATCACTGAAAGAGATGTACGGGCTGGCACCAGCACGAACTTGGAACGTCTCCCCATAGAAAGTAACTGCTTTGACGACTGGTTCACCTTGGTGTTCAGAACTTCCTACAACAGAGAACGCAGAGGGAGGTTCACTTGAGGAGGCCGAGGGCTCCTCTGGGACATCATCCAGGGGTTGTTCAGCTACAAGACGCTCTTGTCGACGATTACGTATCGTCCCATTACGATGGTGCCAGCGGTCAAGGCCAGGACGACGAACGCCAAACCGTGCAGTTATGCCAACTTCATCGCCATCATGGTCCTGAGTGATCTGGTGTGCACCATGCTGGATGCCAGACCTTAGGATGCCACGAGGAGGCGGACCAACCAGAAGCGTAGCAGGGTCACGACCTGGCCCAGTAGGAGCAACGGTTGGCGGGCGGTGGCGACCACGAAGGTGGCGCTGGTCAATGACTTGAGCAAGCCAGTCCGAGCCAAGGGTCGCTCCTCTCACATTTTCCTCAGTCGGCACAGAGTCACCACCAAGGGAAGGAAGTGGCAGCTCTTCAGGGATCGGGGCCAGGGTGGCTTGTTCATTGAGACCAGGATGAGGAACGCGATGTCCAGCTTCTGTTTCCACTGAGGCAGGAGAGGACGAGGGCCACTCTGTGGATCTGGTGTGGGGCAGCTCCCAGACGTCACCAGTCACCAGCTGCTCTCCCCAGGTAGTCCAGGAACTGCACGAAGAGGAGGACGAAGAAGGCATGGATGACCAAGGAGACGACACCCCCAAAGAACAGGACGATGAGGGGGAAGACAAACCATCCATCGACGGGGAAGTGGCTACTGCAGACGAGAACGAGGAACCCGAAGAAGGCGATGTCCATGAAGAGCACGATATCCTCGACGAAGTCTCGGATGAGGATTGTGCCGAAAGCCAACCGGTACTCGAGGAAGTCGGTGTCCAAGAAGAGCACGAGGTCCGCGAGGTCCACGAAGAGGAAGAACACGAGGTAGG